CGGTGCTCGGGGGTGCGGCTGCTCCAGGGCCAGGCACCGGCCGTGGGATGCATCTCAGCACCCCACACAGCCACGTTTCTTCCTAGGCGAGGGTTTCTACCAGGGCATGGACAGGAGAAGACAAGACCCAGACAAATATTCATGAGTTTGGATTACTCCGATGGCAGAAATTTGGAGAGCTGCATCGCTCTGCTTGCTCAGGATGGGGATTTAAATGCTGAGGATGTTCCTGTGAAGTCCAAAACGTGCAGCAAATGGGATAAAAGTTTAAATGAGGAGCAGTTTCAGGCAGTTAGCAGATAAGGACCAAGGGATCTCGGCTTTATATATAGTCATGCCTTCCTTTCCACTCAAGATCATGCTCTATAAATACCTTCAAGGTAATGATATAAATGAAGGAAGGGAATTATTTGCAGTCTCCAAAGATGGCAGGATACCCAGCAGTGTCCTGAAGCTATGGAAGGAAATATTTAGGCTAGATCACGCATGGCAGGCAGGAAAAGGGAGGTGGAGACAACCAGGGAGGAGAGTACTTCTGATAAGAAAAAACAATCAGGGAAGGAGCAGAGGAGGCAGCTGCTGCCTGTGGGGTGCAGACCTGGATGCAGCCACCCAGGAGGCTTTGCTGAGGGCTCAGCCTCACCCAGCAGACGGTTTTTCTAACCCAGCTTTTGAGAGAAGCTTGGGCTGAGCCCCCACGAGCGGGGCCAGAGCCACAGGGCAGCTCCAGCAGCCTGCCCAGCCCTGGCATCAGTGGGGCAGTGCCCCTGCTCCTGCTGCAGGGAAGCTTAGGGGTGCCAGGCACAAACTCTGCTCCCCTCCCAGCTCCCCTCCCCACGGTGAGGGCTTTGCCTGACAATCGGGGCTTATTTTCCAAAAAAGTCAACTTCCATCTACTATTTTCCAGCTCCCAGACGGCACAGCGGAGCAGCAGCATCCCCTGTCCCGCTTCCACGCAGGTTGGCTTCAGCTGCAATTGTGCGGGCGGGATCAGACCCTGCCAGGGCTTTGGAATTGAAACAAACTGATTTTTCAGGGTGGGTATGGCTACAGCAGCCGCTCTCCTCCTACTCATGCAGGCAATGAGGAGGGACCAACACCTCTATCTGCCATGGGACCCAGCCCGTGCATATCTGTGCCGGGCTTTGGGGGCCTTGGAGCAAAGGAAGGTCAAATATAAGCTTTGCCCTCGCAAATCGTTACCGCTGGCAATCCAGAGGCAGATCCCGCAGCGAAGGGGAGGGGGTTTCTCTTTAAATAAATGCGCTTTTAAACCCGTGGTGCAGGAGACGCTGAAGCAGACCTGCGGGGGGAAAGCAGGACCTTCGAAACGATGAGAAAAAGCCCCCAGCGCTAAGGCAGGCGAACCTCCCCGTCCCCCGGCCAGCCCTTCGCTCACCTCTGCCCGGGGCTCCGGCACCCGCTGGCGCTCCGGGGATGGCAGCGTGGCGAGGAAAGCAGGGGCACGGCGGGGCTGTGACCGCCTGGCTTGTGACTGCCCACGCGACCATGAGCAAGGGGCGCAGCCGCTCAGAGTTTCCCCTGGAAGCAGCACTTCCCCAGGCAGGAAAACACCCCAGCCAGGGCGGCGGATTTAGCAGCACTTCGGGGACACAAGCGTCCCCTGAGCGCACCCTGCGGGGCTGCCAGCCTGGGCTGGCAACTGATTTATCAGCGTGCTGAGAAAAATCAGAGTATGAAATAGTCCGTAGGCCTAGAGATTAGCCAAGAGCAGCAGACAGAAAGGAGAGAGTGGATCCCCCAGGCACTGCCTCAGTGTCCCCAAAGCAGGGGGTGTCCTCGCCTTCACACCCTTTAGCCCACAGGCACAGGACGTGCATCTTCTGGGCATGTCCTGGCCAAGGATACTGTGGACCACCAGTCTGTCCCTCCTTGCACAGTGGTTTTGGGGAGGGAGAGCTCTACAACACGCATCACAAGCTGCCAGCCTGCGCCTGGGTGCTAACCCTCCTTGGCAAGGGCTTTGCTGGGTCCGTGCTGCTCATGGGGACGTGCTGCTCTGACAGGGCCCAATCCAGCCGTCGGGGCTTTGGCTGCAGGAGCTGAAGATGGGAGAGGAGGAAGAGGAGGCATGAGCCCACAGCCCTCTGGGGAAGGAGCTGCAGAGCAGCGAGCCCCGCTCTGAGCTCTCCTGTGGCGAACAACTTTGTACCTAAACACTTGCACACACTTGCTTCGATTTGGCTAGTGCAAAATGTGGGCTGGCAACCCCAAAACGTGCCCAGAGGCACAGGCAGCCTCGCATCATCCCCACTCTAAGCCCAAGGTAACTTGGCCAACATGACTGTGTGGCTTTAGCTCTGTGGCTGCCCCAGGGGGGATGTTCCCCACCTGCCCCCATCCCCAAGAAATCCCCTGCCACATCCCTGCCTTGGCAGCTGGCGAGGAAAGGGTGCAGATTCCCCTGGGAGGACACAAGCGGTTGTGCAAGAGCCAGGCAGAGGAGTTATTAATGATGGCAGGAATGTGCTGTGCACTCAGGTCCCCGGGGGAGGGGGAGAGGGGCCACACACCAGCCCTGTCAGCAGCAAGAGACAGCCCTGTCTCCGGCAGAGCCGGCAACGAAACCCCCTTCCCGGAACCAAGGGGCAGAGAAGGAAGCAGGTGAACCCACTGCCCAGCTGTGGAGGCTCCCAGTGCACCCCAGCAGCACCACTGGGAGCTGTGGGACAGCATCACAGTGGCCAGATTGCAAAAATACCCACCACCAGCAGCTATGCTGTATTTATGGCTAACGTAGGGTATTTCTACGTGTAACAGGCTGCAGGCATGCTCAGAGCCACCAACATCC